TGTCAGTGAGAAACTACCAGGCCCCTACTGCCCTCTTCTTTCCACAAGAGGAACTCTCTCATGGTGTTCATGTGAGACTCAGCGTTTCAACAATCAAGTTTTATATATATATATGTATATATATCTTTCTCAACTAGCTTCATAAGCTCCCTGGATTTAAGCTTCTTTGTCTGCGCTAAGGAGGTTGTCTGCGGTCAGTTGAAAGCTACAACTCCAGGGTCAGCTTGTAGTTACCGTGAACAGATGAGGTGTATAATGTTGAATTCCTACGCCTGCAGTCCTCTTTCATTCTTTGTTTTGCTTTGACATTTGATTTGTCAGGGCTTGTGTTGCAGATGAGTTTGTCAATACCAAAAATTGAAAAGGGTTTGGATCGGGCGCTGTTGCTCTTGACTGTGCAAACTAAGCTATTCACTCTCAGATTAACATTAAGCTTGATAAAATGTTCTCCCAAGTGCTGAGAAATATCACAGTTCTGAGCAGACTGGGTCACATATGATTTTCAGTACTCGTGTGATAAATGCTTAAAGGGACAGTAAAAAAAAAAAAATGTTTTACTCACCCTCATGTTGTTACAGACTTGTATACTTTCATCCGCGAAAGATAAAAGATACTTTGCAACATCATTCACCAAAAAACGTTCATGTTCCACAAAATAAATAAAGTCATACGGGTTTGGAAATACGAGACGGTAAATAAATGACGACGCAATTTTTGGGTGTTAGGCTACACAAAAACGTGTCAGTCTGAACGTTATGTGTCTGCCAATGTTCTTACTGTTACCAGAGTGTTTGGAGAGCTTAACTTGGCATCTTTTCAAATGAGGTTTAGCTCCGTCATGAATTTGCTGGAAATTGCCAAAGACGTTTATCTAGCCAACTCTTTGCTTTGGCAACAGATGCTTTAGTTTAACTTGAAAGTGTCTGTTTCAGTCATCGTATCTCTTATCTTCATCTTTAAACTGGCTATACAGAAAATCACTCATCACCAACCCTCATATTTATCATTCTAATCATTACTGTTATCTTTGCCACAATTTACAAAATACACTTTGGGGCTTTCCATGTGCTGTTTACACAACTACTAATTAAGTAAAGTCTAATTTCTTTTAGGACTATTTTTTTCCAACACAATGACGGATTACCCAAGAAACATTTCCTCACATTTATATATACCGTTAAAAGACAAGGTTTTGTTTTAAATATTGAATATCACATATAATGACCTGCTTACTGTACCTTATTAATAGTGCCCACCGAATAATGAGTATCTATCTAAACCAGCATATTTGTCACATATCTAAACCCAGATCTTTCTAGTACCTTCCACTTAACTGTTTCTCTAACTTTTAACTTTTCATGGGAGCATGCACAGATTTGACAGGGCACAGAGTGGTGAACATCAAAACAATTGCTTTCAGTTCAATGACAAAACAAATACTTCACTTTCATTCTTCATATAACAGCACACAGTTGTTTTCAATCAACTTTTCCACAAAAAAAATACCAAAAATGGCTTTATAGCCTAATGCCTTTTAAGTTCTTTTTATTCTTGTGTTCTTTAGAAAAGCGTCTATGTGGTGGTGTTTTAAAGAACCTAGAAACCAAAACTTTGCTCTGAAAACTTTAAACTTTTACTCTGAACTTTTGTGTCTTCTGATAACCAACTCAAGAAACCTTTAACTACTGCGAACAATTAATCTTCACTCAAAATAAAGGTTCTTCTTATCTAGAACTTTTTTGACTGTATAGAGCTCTTGAGTTGCTAAATGTTTTTGCAGTGTAGGAAAGTTCAAATGAAATGTTCTGTAGATCAGGGTTTTCTAATGCACCAACATTGATGCTTTTCTAAAGAACTAGAAAACGGGTTTAAAAGTTTCTCCACATTACTCATCCTTATTGTTTCTAATTAAAACCTTTATTTTTATAGAAATAGTTTACACAAAAATGAAAATCAGCTGAAAATGTGCTCACCCTCAGGCCATCCAAGACATAGATGAGTTCTTCATCTGAACAGATTTGGAGAAATTTAGCATCACATCACTTGCTCTCGAATGGATCCTCTGCAGTGAATGGGTGCCGTCAGAACGAGAGTCCAAACAGCTGATAAAAACATCACAATAATCCACAAGTAATCCACACAACTCCAGTCCATCAATTAAAGTCTTGTGACATGAAAAGATGCGCATCCATCATTAAGGTGTTTTAACTTCAAATCATTGTAGCTAAAATACAAGTCCTCTATCCATAATATTGCTTTAGAAATAGAAACAAATTCATCTACATCTTGGATAGCCTGAGGGTGAGTATACATTTTCAGCAAATTTTATTTTGGATGAACTATTCCTTTAAAAGTTTATGAATAGAGTTCTTTATTGAACAATATTATGCAAATAATTTTTACTGAAACTTATCTAATCAATTACAAAGAAAACTGCCTGTACCTTATTTGTTTCTTCAGGCAAGCCTATACATGGATGAGGAAATATTTTTGCTTTGGGAAATATCTTGTTTTTCTCTGTATGGTAAGAAAGAAGTTTACACAATGTAAAAGCTCAAGCTAATTATATTTTCTCGAGAAATGGAAGTAAAGACACATTTAATCAGTTTTATGTGATGCTACTGACCTACAGAACTTCCAAGGCAGTGACAGGAAGGCAGCTGTGTAGAGTTAATTTGAAGAAGAGCCAGCTGTGAAAACAAAAAACAAACAAGAAAAAAAAACGAATTTACAGTAAATAAATTTAAAAAACACTCTCAATTCATTAAATTCAGTGTGCATTCTCTATCAACTTCTGTGAATTTCTCCAGGTTAAAAACGAAAAGTTTTAAAGGCCCTTGTGGAATGTGACATTGTCTCTTGCCAATATGTTTTTTTTCCCCTAATGTGATCAAACTCACCTAACAACTTTAAATGTTATGGTTGTCATCATTCATGATAGATGCTAAGTAGATGGTGATGAGTTGACTAAAGTGAGTCACAGATTCTTCTTTCCAAATATGAGTACAGTATGAGAAATCGTTGAGATGAAATTCTCGGAGAGATCAATGCAAGATTAATCTAATCTTTCTCAGGAATCACAATTCCATATTTGAGATAATCAAGATAGTTTATCATGTACTTTTCTCATAAGTATAGGCTATTAATTTACTTTTTTAAAGTTTGAGTTAGCAAAGTTCTGTTACTTTTCATTCTTTGTTAAATGAATAAAACTGTGATAACCCAGTTATGTGCAAATATAAACTAACCTCCTTTATGCCAAAAGACATATTTATTAACTTTTGTTAGGCTAATAAATTACAAAAGTTGGTTAGCTGGTACAGACTAAAATCAAAAGCTGAAAACAACAAACAGGACTAAATAAGGACAGTAAAAAAAATTGAAAGAATTCTACGCAAGTGAAGTTATTAATGTAATTTCGGGAGGAGTACGCCCATCTAATCTTCCAATTAATCGTCCCTCCTCCTCCCCATCTCCTCCTTTTTGTGCTTTTTTATTTATTTATCTTTCTGCCTATAGGAGGCTATCGGAGCTGGAACAGAATAGTCTCTCTGAGCCCTCCATTGCAGACATCAAGCCAAATCTGTTTATCACTAATGCTAAAATAAGATTATATGGGCACACAAACTCATGAAATTATATATAGCCGACATTTTTAGATGTCAACTGCAGTATTCTGTACTGCTGTTTCTTCTAAAATTTTACTTGTATTTATGTAGGCTACTATGGTATTAATGTAATAAAAATATATTGTTCTGACTATAAATTCTAAACTGATAAACGCGCAGGAAGTCGTAAATAACGATAAATAGTCTATTGCACGTGCCTCACTGCACATTCGCAAATTCCGTTGGCAACCACGAACTGAAGCCTATTCATTGGCGGAAGAATTGCTGTTTTTTTCCCCTCACATGAATAATTAAACATAATAAATATAAACATTTATGTAACTTTTTAAAATCAGATTAAAAGGGGCGATGGGCTTCATAAAAGTCACAGTACAGTAACTCACTCCTGACTTGTTTTATGAATTCCTTCAAATAAAATTTCGTGTTCACACTGACTTCACTGTACAGTTACTCCTACTCTCTCAAGTACGTTTATAAAGTTTAAGTGCGTCCTAAAGTCACTCAGTCGCGCGCCTCCTCTCCGCCCCGACACTCAAAAAGTCAGTGAGCTGCGCGCGCGTCTCATTCTACCTGCTGAACGCGCGCTGATCAAAGCATGGCCAAATCTCAGTCGAGACGCTGCTGCTTCTGCATACTCGCTTTAGTGTGCTGTGTTGTGATCATCTGCATTTGCATCATTTTAGCCACCAAACAGAGATGCGCGTTTACGCACGCTGCTGTTTCTGCGGACTCTTCCAGGTGCTCCGACATCGGCAGGTAAGAAGACGTGCGCGTTATGCGAATTAAGATCTGAACCTTAGGCATTGAAAGTATTACATTGACGCAACGCTGACTTTCAGTTCAATACAATACAGCTGCAGTACAAGTTAAGAAAGTTAAATTGCATGTCATAGCTACAACAGAATCGGCTACATGAATAGTTTTTAATAAGCTGTTGGCACAATTTGTTTTAAATATAGAGTGTTTAATATGAAGACGTAATGCTATTATTTCAAACAATGATTAACAACGAGCAAAAACAATGTAGAGAGATAATCAGTTTAAGAGATTAGATAATGCAGCGCTGAACATATGGTGACACACTTGAGTTTGGATACACTTGTATGAATCTTATAGATTTGGAATAACTAGAATTATGACATATGAAAAAATAACCTAAAAGTTGAATGTAGAATGGGTCTGTCCAGACTAGTTTATACATACAATCTTGTTGACATTCTGTTAAATATTTTATGCAACCATTTAAACCCTCTGAGTGATGCTGCACAAAACCATATCCAAGATCTTTAGTCCTGAGCACTCATTAAACTTGAGTTTAAATTAAACGGACAAGAGCCATGACATTAGGGACAGCCAAGTCCTCCTGCCAGTCAAAACTGGATCAACCAGCTTCACAAACCCCTATGTAGAAGTCATGCTCTTAGATTGGCACATTTTTTGTCCCTCGTCCACGTTTCCTGCAGTTTGTGCCAAACGTACAGACTGTTTCCTTGTTCAATGATTGAAGTCTTTTATGACTGCATTTCAAAGAACTTGGCTGTTCCATCTGGGGTCACAATTTAACCTGCTCAAAAAGGATAGAGAGAGGAGTTAGTTAAGGCTTCCAGGCATATCCTGGATAGAGGAGGTATTTGTCCTCTTTTGGACTAATGTCATGTGATGCTTGGAACTCGTTGCACATTTTGTCAAACAAAACAACATCTGATGTGAAAGAAGTAAAAAAACATTGCATCTCCACAGACACACTGTCGTTACCCAGAGT